GGTATTAATACCTAGCGTATTTAGCTTTTATTTTACTATTTTACTATTCTTATGCCCATTGTTTATTAAAACAAAACCCTCGGCAATAAATAATATTCCACCTGAAGAAGGTTAAAACATCATAAAAAAGGTTGAAACCTCGTAGAAAAGAACGGAAAATGAGGATAGTTATTTTTAAAGGATATTTAACAAGTCATTTCAAAGTCTCAAACAAAATCCGCCATATAAATATTCATTCATATCTATCTATCATATCTATCTATCTATCTATCTATCTATCTATATATATATATATATATATATATATATATATATATATATATATATATATATATATAAGTATAATTTTGGAAGGTCCTACAAACTACGAGATTGTCGGAATGCTATGCTGGGTTCTTCGAGTCATCTTACTTGGTGGTGCCTATCTTGATTCGATGAATCCAAGTCAGAGTTTACATGGTACCACTGATACAGAAGACTCTCTGGCCTGAATGAACTCTTCTCCATCAATCATTGTGGCATACGGATAACGAGACCCTTTTGAAGATATTTAGCGATGGAACAGAGTCTGGTCTCAGCTGAAATTTGAACCAAGTTCACAAGTTTTGTTTTCTATTTTAATAATTTATATCACTTCCTTTTCTTCCCTCGCTCCCACCCTGTCTATCTATCTTGGTAAAAAAAGTATTATAAAAAAGATGGATGGCAAGAGAGAGAGAGAGAGAGAGAGAGAGAGAGAGAGAGAGAGAGAGAGAGAGAGAATGCTAGACAGCTTGAAAATCCACAGTTAAAGTATACGATATGATATAAAAATGATAGTTAAAATATAATGAACGGACTAAGATAGATAGATAGATAGATAGATAGATAGATAGATAGATAGATAGATAGATATGAACTGCTTTAGATAGACAGCTAGATAGATATGAATTGGTTCAGATTGGTATAGATAGATATGAACTGGTTGATACACACACACACACACACACACACATATATATATATATATATATATATATATAGAGAGAGAGAGAGAGAGAGAGAGAGAGAAAAAGAGCTACAAAGAGATAGATAGATAGATATGAACTGGTTGATAGATAAATATGAACTGGCTTAGATAGATAGATAGATAGATAGATAGATAGATAATGAACTGGTTGAAATAGATGACGAGAGAACTATCCAGCTTAAAAGTCATTGCTGAACTATATGGTATTGCAATGATAATTAAAATATAATGAACATAGATGTGTAGATAGATATGAACGGGCCGAAACAGACGTTTAAATATTGAGATAGATAGATAGATAGATAGATAGATAGATAGATAGATAGATAGATAGATAGATAGATAGATAGATAGATAGAGTTTGTAAGTAAAAGAGAGAACAAGAGAATATAAAATGCATAGAAATGTCACTTATAACGAAAATCTCGTGTCACAAATCTCACTCTTCTCGAGATGTTGATAATGTGCAGATTCCTGATGGAAAGAAGTTGTGTTGTTTTGTCTGGTGGAGTCGAACTGTATAAATAACTTAAGCAGGCCCCATAGCCACAGTAAACAAAATAGCTCATATAATAAACGTTATAGCTATTAGTATGTATTGACGATGATGAGAATACCAAATCATCGGGGCAGTTTCAGGTTTGTCTTGATTGCACACGCAGAACTAAAGTCCCGATCCGTGAACGAGGTCAACTTACGTAAATTTAGTTCCTCTGTTGTTTTTTTTTTCTTCTTTTTTATTCTCTTGATAATCTGTTTGTTGCTGGTAAATTCCGGTTATGTGTAACAAAAAATTGTCAATTTGTTAACAATTTGGTTATTTTAAATGTACTTCCGATTTTAAAAAGTACTTCCAAGGACATCCTATACTTGTAACAAATCTGCCAGATTTTCATAACATTAAATTTTTATTACATTATTATTAATATGTTGTTGTTAAAATAATAATAGGCTTACCACCACATCACGTCGTTCACCGGTTCTCGAGTGATCACCAATGTTAATCAAGTTTTGGCCTGATCTGTATTGAGTTAAATAACCACTGGGATATACAAGGTGCTGTAAGCTACGGTGACAGCCCTAGCAAACCAGTGATGGGTACAATCCCGCTCCTTATGCTAACAGAAGACCTTGATATCGCAAGTCCTACCTGGAGTTTGGTGATTGATTATTACAGTGTAACCCGGATATAAGAGAGTTGTCGGGACCGGAGACGAAGTCTCTTATATCCGGGTTTCTCTTATATCCGGGTTTGGTCTATTTTATATACATTAACACAGGCTCTAATTTGGGACCAGAGAAAATCTCTCTTACATCCGGGTTTCTCTTATATCCGGGTCTCTTATATCCGGGTTACACTGCATTATTGTTTCCTTTGATTTCTGTTGTATATTCATTTCCTTCCGGATCCCAACCCTGAGGTCAGAAATGGCATCATGACGATTTTCATTGAACATTAAAAAAAAAAATGCAGTCTATGAACACACAGATTTTACATAGATAAAGTACTTCGTGAGATGTGAGCTGTATTTGCCAGATATACCTTCAATTAATTTATCGGGACTGTTTCCATATTATTATTATTATTATTATTATTATTTTCTTTGATTTCTAGCGTTTACACATTTTTTTCGGCTCCCGCCCAGGGACCTAAAGTTAGAAATGGCGTCATGACACTTTCCACTGACAAAAAAAAAAAAAAAAAAAAAAAAAAAAAATAGATATAAAGCCCTTCGTAAAGTGTGGGCTGTACTTGTCAGAACAATTTTTTGTGTCTCCTTGAGGCATAGACTTCCAGGAATCCCTTCAATTAGTCTACTGCAATCTTTTCGAACCAGTCCTAGGGCTCCAACTACAACAGGGATTGTTGATGTTCCCATATGCTACATTTTCGAGATTTCTATTTCAAGGTCCTTGTACTTTGACAACTTTTTGAATATCTTCAAAGATACATTGCAGTCAGCAGGGACTGCCATATCAATAAGGAGGCACCGTTTTTGTTTGTGGTCTTTAATAACAATATCTGGGCGGTTGGCTTTGATTGTTCTGTCAGTGTGTATTGTGTAGTCCCATAGAATTGTAACAGGTCCTATCTCCGTAACCGGGTCTGGGTGGTGTTCATACCAGTTTCTTTCAGTTTCCTTCCCGTAGAAGTTGCAGATTTTCCAGTGCAGATATTGGCCCACTCTGTCATGTCGGGTTTTATTATTATTATTATTATTATTATTATTATTAAGCAACAAGAAATAATATATAAGCTCAAATATTTAACGATGCGATAGGGGAATTTCTATAGATATTTTATTGTCATAAAGAGGGCTTGGAAATTCTGATACTCACAGGAAAGATTGAATGCAACAGGGACAGAAGAAAACAATGCATAACATAATTCGTGAGCTTGAATAAATGAACGGCGGAAAAAATGTTTAGGAGAAATACCTTTTCTATAAATATTTTCATGGTAATTGTTCGGATGAGCTCTTCACTATGGAACTTTTAGAATTGTTGTTTTATTCCTCCCCACACAGACATTGAATTGTATATATGGGGATTAGTTAGTATTTTCATAGAGTCAAAGAGGTATTATGGTGGTTGTAGTAAGAAAGGTACGTATGTGTTGTTTTGGTGTAAGGAATATTGTTTTGTACGATTGGGTCAGTGCTTGCGGCTAGCTAAGTTATAGTTAAGACAGAAGAAGACCGTCCTTTCCCCAATCCCCTTTTCGGCCTTGTGCTACATTTCTGTATTGTACAGAATAAATATTGCTCTTCACTATGGTACCTAGATATCATGAATTTAAGCGTAGTACTAGATTGGCAACAAGGTCTCGTCAATTGACAGTTAAATTGGTTACATATAACCGTGAGTTCTATGCTAACAGTTTCTTCTCTCTGGAACTTTCTTCCGGTGCCATGCTTTGCAGCCAACTTGGATCTTCAAACATTTAAATGCAGTGTCAATCGTTCTCTACTGTCTTCCTTATTATTATTTCATTGTTCTCTCGCCTTAATGTTTCTGTTTTTCAGTTCTTTCACCCCCAAGTAACCACTTGTGTCTTAGCGGCTTTACTGCTTTGCTTGTTGTAAATTTGATTAAAAAAGTAACCAAAAGACACAATTTAGGGCACATAATGAGGAAAGAAGGCTTGGAAATCTGATACTCTCAGGACAGACTGAAACCAAGAAGGAAAGAGGAAAAAGAAGGAAAGAGGAAAACAACGCATAACATAGTGAGTTTGAGTAAATTGGTGGTAGAACAAGGTTTAGGAGAAATAACAAAAAGAGAAAAGAGCTACGAAGGACAGGAAACTGTGGAGGGTCATGATCGCCTTATGCGATGAGGGGTCACGACACATAAAGAAGATTAGCTACTCGGAAACATTCGGTATTCATTGACCGAACTGTTAGCATTACTGTCAGTTGAAATTTATTAAATCTTTCTGTTAAAACAAATTTTCAGGAAAATAGATTTCTCAATCCTTTGTCACAACTCTTTCTAGTATTGATGGGAGTTTCTTTTCTAACCTTTTATTTCACGTAGTGTGAAAAGTCAACATTTTGCTTATGGCATTATTTTGTCTTTTATTTACATTTTAGTTGTTGCTGCTGTTGGAAGTCTCCAAGTGGTCTTATCGTTGTTATTTTGCAAGGTTCTTTTATTTGTCATTTGTCAGTAACTGTCTGCGTGATCAGACGGAATGCAATCCTTCCTAAGGTTAGAAATGGCGCCATGACACTTTCCACTGACAAAAAAAAAAAATTTACATAGATAAAGCCCTCCGTAAAGTGTGGGCTGTACTTGTCAGAACAATCTTTTGTATCTCCTTGAGGCATGGACTTCCAGGAATCCCTTCAATTTCTTGAAGCCATTTTAAATCATTGATCTGAGAAACGGTTAAGATAACAACTATGTCTACTCAAACACCAAGCATCTTTTATTTTTTTTATTTTTTTTTCTTTTAAGCGTTTCACCCCAAGCAAGGCGAGAAGCCACTAGGACGCAAGGGTTTACAGAAGATCAGATAGGAGTGATAGAAGAAAGGATGAGGAGAAGGATAGTGGATAGATCAAGGCAACTGGAGATGTCGATTGACATTACATTTGAATAGTTGGAGATTATAGCTCTCAGGGAAACTGGAATAAGGGAAGGGAGTTCCACAGGCGAGAGGTGCGAGACATGAAGCTATTGGAGTAGAAGAGACGGCTACATTTAGTAGTTTCGACAGTGAAGGGGTGAGAGCGGGATGCCAGCCTCGTAGGGCGCTTGAACTCGTGAAGTCTGGCAACCAGCGAATGCAGCTCCTCGGAGCAATTGCCATGAAAGTATTTGTAAAAAAGACAGAGAGAGGCGACGGCGCGTCGGTGAGAGAGCGACTGTAGACGAGATGCCAGCGCAGGGCCAATTATATTGCATATCCGCCTCTGGATCTTATCAAGAACCCCGAGGCAAATAGAAGGGGCTCCAGACCATATATGGCAGCAATACTCCATGCAAGGGCGAATTGTTGATTTGTAGATCTGGAGGATCGATTCCGGGGAGAAAAACTTCCTGGCGCGGCACAGGGACCCAACTTTCCTTGCGGTGGACGAATCAATTGACTCAATGTAATGGTAAAAAGAAATATTGATAAAATTTAAATAGAATCCATTTACTAATACATTTAAAATAATTAAATAAAAAGAAGGGCTTACATTTTTCGGTTATAAACAGTTGATCTACGGAACCAACACTTTTCCGAACAACACGCTTTGTCTTTAAATCACACTTCCTCACTAAAGTGAACAAATATAAGCAGCAATCAAATTGTTGTTTTTTCTCCTCCATTCTCTTCTTTTGTTTGGATAAAAGATGCAAACACCAAAATGAAGTGAGAATTTTAGAAAATAAAGCAATTATATCGCCTATCCTTCTTATTCATTTTAGTTTAATGGTGCATTTTTTCATTTTTGTTTTTCCTTGAGCTTCTTACAACTGATGTTATAAACACATGCATTATGCCATTTATAATAGAAATAAGAAAACAGAGCACTGTCAAGGTCAAAGAAACAAAATATGTCCACCATTTTTAAGCTTTTCCTTTTAAACACTGTTCCTTTTTCGATTAACATTTTCACTATTATTGTTTTATTACTAGTTTTACACCATCTTATTATTATTGCTTTTTAGATGAAGCCTTTTCACAATTATTATCTTATGACTAGTTTTACTCCGTCTTATTAAAGAGTTTTTAATCCATTGATTGCTCCAGAAATATAACCCTGAATCAGATTGATCGAAGGAACTTAAATGTCGGTTTGAATCTCTGGTATGAGGAGTTGTCATTATTTACATTATTTACATCTTTTTTGTCCTCATCCTTTTTTTTCTCATCTATTTTATTTTTATTATTAAAACATCAATAACCTTTAGTAGATTCAAACTTTGATTCGTGAATTTGGTGACAACTAGCTATTTTAACAGTAAAACGAAGAGACCAAGTAACCAATCTAATAGTGTGCTTAAATTCATGCGGCTGGGGTACCAAAAATGAGGGCTCATTAGAACAACTGCCATGAAACTATTTATAGAAAAGATAGACGGAAGCAACGTCACAACGGTAGGAAAGTTACTGAAGTCGAGATGCCAGTTCACGACCGATAATATTACAAACTCTTCTTTGGATTTAGTTGAGAATCTCGAGATGTGACCCAGAGCACCAGACCAGATACGGCAGCAATATTCAATGCATGGGCGAATGGTAGATTTATAAATGTGCAATATAAATTCTAAATAGAAAAACTGAAAATTGTCTGGAACGACACAGTGAAGCAACGTTCTTAGTAGCAGCAGACCAAGTAATTACACACACACACACATATTATTAGTATTATTTTTATTATAAGAGATTATAATAAAACATGTTGAAATCGCTACACAATAGCTTTCATGTTTTAATACTATGATTGTATTTATTCAGGCGATAGTAAGTAACTGGTGATTAAATTATATGATTTCCGGTTTGAAAATCAGAGTCCAAAATACACGATTTCATCAGGCTCGACAACTGACCAAGTGCATTGGGGTTGAATACATAACTACTTCAACCACCTAGCAAGTCCGATGTGCATGAATGTGTGTGCGTTAACGATCACTTAACATTGTGTGAAAAAAAAACAAAGAAAGAAAAGCAGTGAAAGATAAGATTGTCTGAAAAAAGAGATTGCTCGAAAGAAAAGAAAAGACGCTGAAAGAAAAATGAAAATATTATCGGAAAGATAAAAATGGATATATTAGCAAAAATAAAACCGCCGCAGAAAGCTCTGCCCACCCACACGAATAAATAAAAAGCAAGCAAACAAACAAACAAACAAAAAAAAAAAAAGCAAAGATAAAAACGAAATGACGTTTCTCGCTGTCATTTTGTAATGATTTAACGATTTTTCAGCCTGCACGGTCGAGTGGTGACAAGCGACAGTATGGCTGCCGGCAAACGTGATCACGTGACCATTCATTTCGCGCCCACCAATTCGCCAACAAGACGATCTCGGCGTGCCGTGTCAAGAATTATCGATGTGGAATTTCAGTCCATTACGTTGCCGACACCGCTGCCATAAGCTATAAGCGATGTTCAATTTCGATTCTTCTTCAGTCCTGAGGGAATTGACAAGAAGAAGAAGAAGAAGAAGTAAAGCTAGGAGATGTAATGATGGAACTTGGTAGAAGAATGAAGGGGAGTTAATAATTTAGAAAGAGGAAGTAAGAGAGATAGGAATACTGTGTAAAGGGGGGGAGTTAATATTAATACCAGGGTTGAGCGGTAGGAGATGGCTGAGGATAATAGATAAGATGGAAAAATGATGGGAAAAGAAAAAGAAAACTAAAACAAAGAGGGGGATGGGGGGTAAGACTTTCAAATCGGGACATATATAGAGAGAAGATAACGATATAGAAAGAAAACGACTAAAGGGTGGAAAAGAGTAAAAGAAAGAACAAAGAAAATCGATAAAGTAAAAAAGAACAGAAAGAAACTTGGTCTAGCAAATTGAAAGTCAATATAGTGAATTATTATAGACGAGAAAATAAAATGTAGAAAGAAAGAAAGAAAGAAAAAAGGAAAACATAAAAAAACAAAATAAGACAAGAAAGAAAAATAAATAAAGAAAGAAAAATAAAAGGAAAACATAAAAAGAAACAAAATAAGAAAGAAAGAAAGAAAGAAAGAAAGAAAGAAAGAAAGAAAGAAAGAAAGGGAAAAGTAGAGGGTAAACAGAAAAAGAAACGAAATGGGACAAGAAAGAAAATTGAAGCGGGAACCAGGGAAGAAAGAAAGTAAGAAAGAAAGAAAGAAAAAAGAAAAAGAACAGAAAGAAAACAGGGAAAAAATAAAACAAGAAAAATGGTAAAATGGAAAACAGAAAAGGAAAAGAAATAAAACAAAAAAGAAAATGGTAAAAAATGGAAGAAAGAAAATGAGAAAGAGAAAAAAAGGAAAAAGCAAAAAAAAAACAGAAAAAAACAAAATTGAAAGAAAAAAGAACAAAATGGAAAGGGAAAAGAAAGAAAATGAAAGAAAGAAAGAAAGAAAGAAAGAAAGGGAAAAAGAAAAGAAAAAGGAAAACAGAAAAAGGAACAAAATAAGGCAAGAGAGAAAATGAGAAAGAGAAATAAAAAAGGAAAGGGAAAAGGAAAAGGAAAAAACAGAAAAGAAACAAAATTGAAAGAAAGAAAGAAAGTGAAAAAGAAAAGAAAAAGGAAAACAGAAAAAGGAACAAAACGAAGAGAAAAATGAAAAAAAAAACAAAGGATAATGAAAAACGAAGAAAAAAAAAAAAAACATGGAAAAAAGGGCAAAAAAAATAAAACAGGGCAAACAGAAAATATGGAAGGGAAATACACGAAGACAGAAAGAAAAAAAGAATGAATGAATCAAAGAAAAAGAAATAAAGAAAAAGAAAGAAAGAAAAGGGATAATGACGGAAATTGGGAACTTTTCTTTTATTGCAAATGGATTTTACTTTTTTTTTCATCTCTATTTTCCTCCATTTGTTATCTCAGAGAGTAAATTATTTCATGAGTCAGAAAATTTATGATATGGCGAGAAGCTGATTCTTTCTGTGTTAAGTGCGAGTATTTACAGGGATGGGGAGCTGCAAATACATCTTTCAAGATTTGGCAGCAACTAATAAAATTGCATAAAATGTGTGTTGGCTTTACGAAGAATACGTCTGATGGAGAAGAAATTAGAACTGGCGGACTGTCATGTCTACGTTTATATAATTAATATTTTTTTATTAAATGTTCAGCCAATATAATCCTCAAAAGCCACTCAAGGTAGAGGATTACTGAATGAAGTTGATGGATGAAAGAGTAGGAAGTAAGTGCAGATTATGAGTATATGTACTATAGAGAACTGTTGACCGTAGGCGAAGAGATTAATAGTGGTCAGGGAAGCATCCACTTAGGAGTCATTTCTACAAAGTTACGTTTCTTGGAAAGGGTTTGTATGTTGTAATCTAGGGAAGGTTACTGAACAGAATAGTCAAACGAAGGTTGGTATTGAACGATAATACTTAGGGCAAGAACAACACATATAAGATTCGCCAGCGGCATGTAGAAGTAGTCAACTGCTAGAAGTGAGTCAAGCGAATTCCACAATGAATCTCCAACTGCAGGATATCTACCAACCGCCCCACGCGGTCAAAGTTGGCACAAGGCCCGAATTTAATGTGAGGTATCCAATGCTCATAGGCTCGGTCGAAAATTCCCCGTAGACACCGTATAAAACGGGGTCGGGTAGCTGTTTCCCGAAACGAGACTCTGCCCTTCGACAAAGCCACGTGTGGGGATCCTTTCTGCCTCTGGGCAGAGAGTTTGACCAGCACAGCTGGAAACGGATCTCGAACTCCAGGATATCTACCATCCGCCCCAGGCCGAATATAATTTTGGGTTTCCGAGTTCCCGGTACACACCATATAAAACGGGGTCGTGTAGCTATTTCCCGAGACAAGACTCTGCCCTTCGACAAAGCCTCGTTTGTGGATCTTCTTTACCCGGAGTCAAAGTGTTTGACCATCACAGCTGGAAAGAGATCTCCAATTGCGGACCAACATACAGTATTTACTATTGTATTTATGTGAATGGGAACATACCCATTATCGTCTGTAGATATGCTACAACACAGTAAAACTTCCTTCTTACCAGTGGAATACGAAGGGAATGGGGACGATTCTACCTTGGGTATGTGGTATGGCGGATCCTAGATGTAAAGGTTTGGAATGGTGAAACTAAATAATCTAGTTCGTGGGAACATGCAAATAGGGATAGAGTAGTGATAGGCTTCTGACGTTTTGTCAGTAGAAGAAGGGTTACAAGGTTGAAAATAATTCATCGGCCACATAGCCGGATAAACGGTTTTGAACTGAGACACTCCAAAGGAATACTCTATTTTATCTTTAATTTTCAAAATGAAGTTTCTTGTTCTATCACACGTTTAAGGTGGCTGTTAATGCGATCAAGAAGTCGATACGTTACAAATTTTGAACTATTAGATTGGAACCGTTATTATTATTTATCTATTAATTGCTGGCTTCGACAGTTCATTACTTAGCTAAGTAATTATAGCGATGGATAGACTGGGTTATGGAGAATAATTGTCCTGATATCAGACTAGTTTATAAGAGCGGCCATGAATGGATCCTGATAGATGCCTTGGGATAAGAAGTTCGTGAAGCGTGGGCAAATGCAAATACAGAAGAACCAAGATCTGGGAGGGTAAATCAGAGAAATATTCCAAGCAGAAGCTGTAGTTATGTTTGCCTATCTTCCGGATCACACTCCTCCTTTACTTTCTTACACTCCTGACGATGACTCAAGTGAGTCGAAAGCTTGAATCTAATACAAACTTTGACTATTTGATATATCTACAATAGCAGCACAGCCACAATTGAGAAAAGTCATTAGCACATTACAAAAAGGCTCATTAAACTGAAGATATAAATGCCTATTCTTTTTAATATATATATATATATATATTATATATATTGTTAAATATAACAGACAACGAATATCTATTATGTTTGATCATGAGCCATTCTACGCTTCGTATATTCGTTAATTTCGGGAGAAAATGAAGACAAAAAAGTCCAATATTTGGATATTTTTTATTAGACAGTTCCTCGATTTTAGATAAAAGCTTAGATTGAAGAACAGCATAATAAAAAAAATTCGAAATGTTGGATAGTCTTAATTAAAGCAACTATTCTAAGCTTAGAACGGCTCATGATCAAACATTATATACATTCGTTGTCTGTTAACAATATATGTTTGAATAATGATCTGCTGCCCCAATACACTATATATATATATATATATATATATATATATATATATATATATATATATATATATTAGTAATTAATAATAAAATATTAATAAAAGTATTGGTAATCCGTATGGAATTTCCAAGAGGATATATATCTGTTGAGAGCTCTATGTCAAAAGACATGTTTTTGTTTTTTTTTAAGTTGAATGCATATGTGTCAAAATCTTAATTGAGGAAGGATCCAGATGGATTTTCGAATTTACACTTAAAATCTTTTTTTCAAATGTATTCTCAATTGTCAATTTCATGTAACGATTTCTGTCAACTTCTGTCCAGATGTCAACTTAAGTCATCACGGTTGTTAATATAACTGAGACGACACACCGTTTTCTTCTCCCACTTCCTACACGATGATAACTTAATATCTTTCTTTCCCCTACTCTCTATATGAAATCACAATTCTTAATGTTTACACCTACTTCATTTAGTTTACAGGTCTGAAGATTTGAAGCCATCTTTTATTGACTTCAATGAAATAAAGTATCACCTATGGTTTTTTAAGTGTTTGTGTGTCATTATAATTTTTTTTTATATATATATATATATATATATATATATATATATATATATATATATATATATATATGTCATCAAAATGAGTGATGATCGGATGGCGAAAATCCTCATGTGTAGACATTTTTTATGGTAAGCTTAACGTAGGCCGTCCTTGGTTACACTTCAAGGACAAACTTAAATACAATTCAATTGCTGCAAACATCCCTATAGAGGAGTTCGAACTTGTTGAAAACCGAGCAAACTAGAGAAATGCCTGCTACCAAGGTATAACTAACTTTGAAAAGAATCGTCTCAACCATCTGAGAGAATTAACACTAAATCTCGCTCTAATACATCAGCCCATATGACGGTCAACCCTTCAGTATGGCCTTCGTGTGGATTTGTTTGCAAATCGCTTGCAGGATTCTTGTCTCATACAAAACATAAAAACTGAAGGACACGCATACGTCGAAAACGACGGGAGAGTCCATCATATATATATATATATATATATATATATATATATATATATATATAAAAAAACAGGCCACTTTAAGGTTCCATTATAATAATTCATTTCATCAGAGCCCTTTTAACGGACGCTGAATCATCAGATAACACTTCCAAAAAATGAAA